ACGTATATCAAATGCTAATTTAGCAGTACAAATAAATAAATCAGCAACAAATGAATCACCACCAATAATTAATCAAGATCCATCGAATACATCATTTGATGAAGAAAAAACTGAAGCTCGTGTACATTCACTTATTGAAGAATATACTGAAAATTATTCAGAATTAACTGATCGACCTGTTAAAGTAAATATTAAAAAGTCAGAAACCAAAAACAAAAAAAATTATTTTCTAAAATTATAGGAAGCATTAGAAGATTTAGCAACATTTCGTACATCAAGCTTTGATCAACAAGCAATTATTGTTCGAGAATTATTTACTAATGTTTTAGAAGCTAAACCACGTGCACGTAAAGCTGTTGGACATTTACTTGATGCTGCACTTAATGAAGATATTTTATCTACTGAAGCTTTTCTTTCTGGGTAAAAAAAAAATCTTTGAAATTTAATTAAACAATTTTCTTCGTTTGTTTTTTTCTTAGATTTAAAATGATTGTTGAAGCTGCACCAGATTATGCTGTTGACATTCCTCTAATTTGGCAATACATCGGTGAAATTATTGGTATGTTTTATGGTTTAAGAAAGTATATATTTTTTTTTTTTAATTTTTTTTAAGGTGCATTTATCGGTGCTCCTACATCAAATATGTCATTACTTAAACCAATTTTAGAATGTGTTCCTGACGATAAATCGAAACAATTATTTCAATTTATTACGCGATATGCAACTGAATTTTCAGTAAAATTTAATTCTTTTATTTTACAAAAACAAAACTGATCTTAAGAGATGATTTTATTGAGAATATATTCCAATATCTAGTCCGAAATTTTTCATTCTTTACATATAGAGTTAAAAGAGTTTACTAGAAACATCACTTTTAATGGTACATCAAGTAAACTGTATCTTACTAAAATCTGGAATGGTACTGGTATCAATTTTTCTCAAAAACAACGCCCAATTCTCTATACACAAAAGATTAATTCTATAGATAGTTTCTAAACCTCACTGGTAATAGAAAGACTCGATCGAAGTTTTTTGACGATTGATATCTGACATAGGAATGTAATGGTGATGGTTCACGGTCTTAGGTTGATTTCGATTTTTGCCGGTCGGCGGAGATCTATTTATAAAAAGAAATAGCTGAATTTGATAAAACTTGACTAAAAATTTTCGGACTGCCGAAAACCGAATCTGTAAGTATAGAATCATTCGAGAAAGGCTCACTTTTCACGCTTTAGTCATGTTTTATGCAAATTCAGGTATTTTCATGCATGTCTAGACTAGTGCACAGTAACCGTTGCATTTCGACTCGGAATGACTAAATCTCTCGTAACTTTAAAAATTGGATTTATTTTTTTTTTCAATATGATTGAAATATTTTCATTATTCGTTAATAGAATTTCATTCAGTAAATCTGATAATCATGGGTGATTACGGTCGTGAATGTTTTTAGATTTCGTACTAATTAGAAATGTGTGGGACCAAGTTTTTTTTTAGTCTCAGTTTCGAGAAAACTATTTCAGAATTTATTCTCATTAAATCTATACAAAAAAAAAATTAAATATTCGTATTTAGATTAATTCTGCCGACACTTAACTGTAATTTTTAGTTTTGATTCGAACAACTTGTCTCTCATAGTCCCAATCCCGCAGATCTCTAGTATTGATAGTTGTAAAATGACCATACGCTAGAGATTCATATCATCAAAAGCGTCGACATTTGATCGATTTTGTTTTTTAGTCTCGATCACGCATACAAAACTTTTGGCAATCATCCGGTTTTACTTTAAATGATTTAATTAAATCTGATCTGATTGATTCTTCATTTTCAAATGAATATGATTGGTTATTTGATACACCTGAAGTTGAATCACCAGCACCACAATCAAAAGAAAATAATTCTCCACGTGCTGATCCACAGCTTGTTAAATTATTTAAATCTGTTAATGATCAAAGTACAACAGTAACAGATCCAGAAATAATAACATATATTCGCGAGGTTTGAATTTTTGTTTTGTTTGAAAATGAATTTTCATTTATTGAATTTTTTTTTCTATTTCTATAGCATATGGATCCAAATGAAAAATTTTATATTCGAAATATTGTTTTATCTTATTTGGAAGCATGTTTAATTAATCGTGATCCACAAAAAAAAATTCAAGAAGATATTGCAAAAAAACGAATGACTATACTTAATGCTATTATTGAACATAAACCAGAAGGAGAAATTCAAGCTGTTTATGCTATTCAAAATTTTGTTAATAAACTTGAACATCCACCAAGTATGTTAAAAATAAATTTTAAATTTAAAAAAAATCAATTATCATTGAAAGAATAAACAGTATTTTCTAATTTCATGAACAACAGTTATATTATGCTGTGTTCAATTTCGACCATGAATAGAGAAGAACTGATATAAATCAATCCAAGTATAGTATTTCAGCTATGGTAGAACTTAAGATTGGCTAATTTGTGAAACACAATCTACAAGAAGAGTTGAAGTATAAGAGTAGAACTTTGCACCCATTCCCGTCCTCCTCCACAGACCATAGATCGTTATGGCTGAATAATTACATTGTTCGACATATATTCATAAGGTACTGTGCTCAAATCTCAGTACTACCAGCTATGAAATCATGCTGGACTAGTCACTAAATGCTGTTTGTCTCCTGGTTACATTCTGATATGCATCGGCTCTTATGACTAATACGTGGTTAGTTGATATGTATGGAAAGTGCAAGCAATCGACCATGTTAGATTGACTTTCTGTTCAGGGTTATAATTAGTATTAGATGTAGAGAAAATATCGAAGTTATTGAATCTGCCGTTAGGCAGAGTATTCTTCTACAGATCGTATACTAATAATGTCTTATTCTACTATATGACCTATTTCCTAATTGCATTTCTGGAAGATTAAATAAAAGGATGATGACGAAATGTGTCTCAAAATAGATAGAGAATAACAATAGCTACATCGTGTTTTATATTTTGATTTCGTAGAAATTGCACTAACAGATTTTCTGAAAGGGGACAATAATTTAACTGAAATCTTAATCATTTATTGAATCATGTAAATAGAGAATGATAGATATTGATGAAATATAGACCCGTAGCTTTCCTTGTTAAGACATATGAAGTTCAATCAAATTAACTTCTTATTGAAGTAGAATTTTCTTTTCATAAAATAATGTTAGTATCTGTAAATAAATATTTTTTTCATTGAACTAAGTATTATATCGAATTTTTTGTTTTTATTCTTATAGAAATGGCTCGACTACTATTTGATATATTCTATGATGAAGAATGTGTAAGTGAAGATGCATTTTTTGAATGGCTTAAACATCCAGATCAATCTGAAACTGAAGGTAAAATAAAATTTTTTTTTTTTTGTATGAAAAAAACAAATAAATTAATAAAATATATGTATATATTATTTAGGGCATGCCGTTGTTGAAATGTCAACAAAAGATTTTTTTACTTGGTTACAACAAGCTGAAACAGAAGTTGAAGAAGGCGAAGAAGAAGAAGGAAATTAAATTCGTATCATCAAACAAACAAGAAAAACAAAAAAAAAATACTGTTTGATGATTTGTTATTGTTATTCTTTCTTTCTTTTTTGTTATTACACAATGTGTTTTTCTTTCGTTTTTTTTTCTCATTCTCTTTATTTATTTTCTATTATATACTAAAAAAAAACATTATATCTGTGTACAACGCATGCGATTGATCATGGATTGTCTTGTCTTGTCGTCTGATTTGAACGTCAAAAAAACTGTGACTTTTTCTTTTCTTTTTCTTCTTTTTCTTTCTCTCTCTCTCTCTCTGTGTTTGGTTTGTTAAATTGAAGTATTCACATATGATTTATTTCTTCCTTACCCTATTCATTCATCAGTTGTGACCGTTATATATTTCTTTTGCTTAAAATTTGATTTCATGTGTGCAAAACAGTACTTTAACATGGAAAAAAAAAACCCTCTCTTATGTCTTTTTCTCGGTGTACATTTGAAATCGAAGCACACAAATAAGAAACAAAAAAAAACTGAATAAAATTTTTCAAACCTGATCAACCGAATATTCGCAACAACTTAAAAATAAAAAAAAGACATTATTTCCTATAAACAGTACGTTTTCTTTTTTTTTTTGTCGTTGTTTGTGTGTTCGATCTCTTCTCTCTCTTTCTCTCTCTCTCTCTCTCGCTTTCTCCTTATATTCGTTTTTCTTTGTGTCTTGTCTTTCGTTCAAACTTTTTTTTTTCTTTTGGTTTTTTTTCTTTCATGTTGTTGTTGGTTGATTTTTCCTTTTTTTTTTTCTATTCACCAAGCAATAAGAAAGAAAGAGACACACAAATATGAGGATTTTAATATGCAAATATGATGATCAGAGTGATGTCGTTTATTGGCTATATGTAATGCAACATAATAATGAACAATATGTTGATAAACAAATATCTTTATCAATTGAAAGTTAGAATATTTGAAAAAGCGGAGTTAGAGATAGAGAATAAATCTTATCCGTTAATTGTACTGATATTTCTTTAAATAGCAGGAAGGAAGAATGAGACAAGGGAAGGTTAAAGCGTCATGCATATGCAATCAATAAAACTAAGAAGTGAAAGTAGATAATAACACATCAAAAGTAAATCGGAAAAAGTCACAAATAATTGTAGTACATGAAATGAATTTGTTGAGTAGGCAATATTTGATCTATTCAAATGTATTTTGATCTTCTACTAGCTATTTTAAAATGGACAGGAGGAAAAGTTAAGCGATATATTTTGAGAACGAAACGAGATGTTGAGATTAGATTGTTCTCTATCGTATGGGTAAGACGTAGCCATATAACTTTACATAGAAACTAAGATTCTCAAGAAGATTTCTGATGAACTGTGTTACAATACAAAACCTCATACAATAGGAATTCGGATTCGACTGAAACGAAATCTTTATATGTACATGAAAGATAGTAGGAGTATCAGCGACACTATGTGGAGAATTTCATCATTGTTTAGCTCGATTTCGCATTTCAAATAAATAGCAACACAGAAAATGTAATCGAACAATTGCAAATAATTGTGAGTGATGTTGAAATATTCGATGATTTAAAAGACGAACATGTCCTCTTTATTATCTCGAATTTCGTTGATCAGTGAGCTGTCTACATCTTGTATTCAATAGAAAACGATGTTTGTCAAAGCTTGATAAAGTCTATTCAAAAAATTCAACATATTTCGGCTGGCATAATTGAGTTCATCAGACAGATGAAATCCAATATTCGTCGAAATGAACATGAACTTGTTGGGATACGAAATTGGGTACATATCAAACATTCCTTCTGCATCTTCAAAAAATCGAAATAAACAAGGATGTTCATTTATGTATTCTCAATTATTAAAAGCGCTTCGCATGCAACATATCGAAACATTATACAAAATGCGTACATTCATTCAATATCTTCATCAGTAATTAGTTAGACTTTATCAAACTAGTAGAGAAAGTCTACGTCTTCTTGCTAATGAAGCTATCTTATTAAAAAGAATAAATATACGTTCATCTTTCAAAACAAATGAAGAATTAACACATTTTTTATCGAAATTTCACATTGCGCTTACGATACGTACATCCTCGAATGAGCGAATTTTTCGCAAATGGTCTATGTCAATTTGAGCTGTGTAAAGCCATTGATCACCTCGATCTGATTGTCTTTCGAAGCAGACAAGTTCAACTCATTTAATGGTACTTTCCCTCCTTCTTTTTTGACTGTTTCGGACTCTTGAAGAGTGAGTACAACTGATTCCCATGAAATTTTATCACAGGTTGAGCAACAAACTAAGGAGATATATGTTCGAAGAAAAAGATCATAAAAAAGAGATTTTCGTGGTTTTTCATGAAACTTCGATTGTCTATAGGACCACATCGAGCCTGCTTCGAATTTCTATCTAACTTTATTTGATTGGGCCGAAATTTTGACCACAGATACTTGAAAGTATTCGTCGTAGGTCAAATTGGTCGTTTTTGTTTTTGACCTTTTCATACGAATTTATAGAGCCCTTACCGTCAGTATCCTGATTTTGGATCTAAAATTTTACGTAATTCTCTCACAAAAAGAAAGAAAGCGGAATTTTTGAAGGAGCTTAAAATCTCCTTTGAGGTATAATCTCGACTATCTCCAAAAAACATTTCAGCTCGATCAGACAAAGTTAGATGGGAATTGTAAACAGACTCGATGTGCTATTATGGAAAGCCAAGTTTTTTCTCGAAAAAGCGTGGAAGAATTGTTTAAAATATTTTTTCTCGAACATTTATCTCCTTAGTTTAGGTACTGTATCTGTAGTAAAAATTTCATGCTGATCAGTTGTATCTTCTTCGAGAACCAGAAATGACCAAAAGAGAGGGAGCACGCTTAAATGTCCATAACTGTGAGAGGTCACTCGGACAAACACTGATAATTACAATACGTAATTTACTCAACGGATAAGTATTCCTATGATCGACAAATATTCATTTTTATACAGAAATATTGTAGTAATGTGATGAAATTTTTTGTTTCAATTGTGATATCAATTACTCTAACTTTCGTTCGACTTGGGATATTTTTATATAGGTGACATAAATTTGAATGAAAACGAACGTCAACCAAAGTAGCGCTTGTTTAAGTTTT